TTATACACATCTTTACACCTTATATACATATTTATATCTTATTTCACATCTTGTAACAACTTTGTTGTTATCAGTATAAATAAATAATAAATAAATAAGTAAATAAATTAAAATTGGTTCTATTGTAACAAGTTCAATATTTGGCTAAAGAAATTAATAAAATCAAAATATGAAAATTGGAATTATTCTAGAAATAAATAATCATCCAAATTAATTATTATTTATTATTTATTATTTATTATTACCTAGTAATTATCATTATTTATTTATTTATTTATTTATTTATTTATTTTATTTATTTATCTATTATTATTAATTAATTAAATATTTCTTTATTATTATTTCTTTAAGGCATTCTAAAATGAAATTTTGGACTTGCCAACTTTCTATTTTATGTTTACTAAGAAGTAATTACTATGGTAATTACGTTTATCTAGCAGTATTTATGTTTATCTAACAGAATTTACTTACAGTATTTATGTTGCATTTATTTAACTGTATTTAATTGTCAAAAACAAAAAAAAAATGAATGAATCCTAATTAGGTTGAATCAAAAATTCTCATGACTAATTTTATATAACTATATTGCTATTACTTTCAACCCCATGCATCATTATCTACATCATTATACATTCAAAGTATTCACAATATTCTTAGTTCAAAAAGAAAACTTGTTTTCATCTGGTAAATATAAATAAATAAATATATATATATATGTATATATGGATATATTATGTAAAATTTATTTACCTAAAAGATCTCGAAGAAAAAAAAAATACTTGAGCGTTTAAAAAAAAAAAGCTTAAGTTTTTATATAATAATAATAATAATAATATTATTATTATTATTATTGTTATTGTTAAATTTATGTTTCATAATATATTACCATATAGAAGACATTCATTTTTTATCATAATTAATAGAATTAATAAGCAATAATAATAATTTAGAAGTTACTCCAAAAAATATTTCTATTTCGATAAATCATAAAGGTGCTTATTATTAGGACGAAGATGACGATAATTAATTCATTACGTTTTAAATTAATCAAATTAATCAAATTTCAAGTGATGATGAATCAAAAAAAAATATATTAAGAAAATTACTTGGTAAAATTTATTATTATTATTCATATATGTATTTCTGTATTTCGTAACGTTAACGAAATAATTTCACTCGATGTATGCGCGTCACGAGAGTCACGAGATAACTTTGGAGAATATGGTACGCGTTTTTTTTTTTCGTTTTATATATATATATATATATATATTGTATAATATTTATTCTGAGATTATTTTAAAATATTCAGGATATTTAAAATGTTCAGAATGTTCGAAATGGTCAGAACGGAGTGTTTAGGATGTTTAGAATGTTTAGAATGTTCGGAATGTTTATAATATTAAGGTTTCGCGTTCTACGCGAATATTTTGTTTATTAAGTTGTATATTTCTCTTGATTTATTATTATTATTATTTAGATTTTAGATTATCGTATTGTCTGGATTACATTTTACCGTAAATAAAAGAATAAAGTAAAGTTCTTCACAAAATTTTTAATATTACAAATATATTGTAAAATATACTTTAAAATATACACTGTAAATGGTGAAATGAAATGTACTGCGTGAACTTTATTTATTTATTTTTATTTAAAATAATATTTATCATGTTTTTTTTTTTTTAACTTAGAAATTTAAAAATGGAATTATTGAAATGATATTTTTTTTTCTCTCTTTCGTTATCTACCTGTTTTCTTTTTCTTCTTCTCTTCTTTTTTTTACTTTTTTAATTATTCGTGACCTGTACAAATATAAATATGAATGCAAGAAAAGATTATTAAGAATGATAAAGAAATGCAAAGATAGAGAATACGAAGAATGCAAAAGATAAAGAATATAAAGAATGAAAAAAAAATGTAAATAATAAACGAGAATTGAATATAACAAGCATAATTTTGAGGGATCACAAATTATAAATAAATTATAAATAAATAAAATGAGTCATGTATATATTTCTTGTAATAATAATAATAATAATAAAAGAAAATGAAACCATAATTTTTAATGGAATTGATTTTTTTAGAAAGAATAAAATGAAAAAAAAGGACGAAAAAAGGATGAAAAAGAAAAGCGTGGCAACAATGATAAAAAATTAGTAGATTATGTTGATCAATGGATGATAACATAATATGGATAAATAATATCTGAATAATATTATGAGCAGTGGAAGAAACTAGAATCTGTAATATGTAGTGATAGCATATTAACATATAAAGTGTAGCATATCACCAAACGTATTAATAATATCAATAATTGTTTCATTGCAGGTCGTGAGAAAGTTGAGAAAATTGAGAAAATTTAAATCAAAACAAAATAAAATTAAGATTTGGGGTATGGATAAAAAGAATTGAATAAAAAGAATTAGAATAAAAGAATTGGATAAAAGGCCCGAATAAAGGATTGAATTGCATGAAAGAATTTATTTTTTTTTTAAAGTTCATGATGTGAAAATAAAATTAAAAAAAAAATTTTTTTTCATCCGACATTTTTCAAAATTTGAATTTTTCTAATTTTCTATTGTTCTTCATTCTTGTAAGTAAAAAAAAAAGATTCTCGTTTTCAGTTATTTCGTTTCCATTTTCATATGTGAAATAGTCATGTGATTATTAAAGATAGATAATCTACAGAAGATAAAATAATAAAACTATAATAAACTAAAACATTTTTTTCCTTTACATTACTCGCGTGTTACCGCATGGTTGAAAGCTGATTTTAGATATTTCAGATATTAAAAGATTTCAATTCTCCAAACTCATTGTTTTATACAGAAAAAAAAAGGATGAACTAGAAAAAATGACTAATAAAAATTTTATATTTTCTTTTTCTTTCTAAAATAAATAAAGAAATGAACTTTTCTCAATTTTCTTTGGTGATTAAATGCATGTTATATTAATTTAGTCAATTGCGTATGGACTTTTAAAGTTTTCTTTATAATATGTCATATTGTTGTCATATTGTCCGTTTGCGCATTTGCAATCACTATGCTCGTACGAAAATCACAGTCAAAAAAAAAAAAATCAAATCGATAGTAATAATAAATATACTCGAAAGCGTAATCTAAAGCAATGCTTTAATGCAATTTTCGTCACTCGACATATTCAACTCAGAAATTCATTTAAAATTACCAGTTAATTTAATTAATTTATCATCTGAATGCAATATCTCTACTTTATATGTATTATATATTGAATAAGAAATCTTTTTTTTTTTTTGTGTAGCAAAATGAACAATTTAGTCAGGAAAAAGAGAATCGAATTATAAAATTGAATTGTTTAAAATTAATCTAAACAGATGAATTATGTATGAATTTATGCAAGCCAAGTTTCCCTTTTTTTTCATATATTATTATTATTTTTTTTTGTTGTCATTTATCATTCATTCATTTATTATCATAATCATTTAAAACTGTTAAACTGCTAAAACATTTTGAACGTTTGGAAAACATTGTTTTATTAAGAATCAGATATCGGATAATCTTCTCCACACAAAACAAAATTAATTAAAATAAATAGATATGCAAAATATTGATATTGTTAATGAATGAAATTGTTTTTCTATTTGCATTGATAAATAAATAAGTAATCTCTAATTAATAACAAAAATTACCTAAATAATAATAAATAACAAACAGTTAAGTGATAGTATGCGAAATATATTTATTTAGTGACATCTAAACATAACGAAACATCAAAACGTAAAAACAAAATATTCTATTCCTTATCGTTATTTAATCCTTTTTTTTAAAAAAAAATGAAATACGTTATATAATATTTGTTGCAAAAAAAAAAAAAATGAATATATCTTATATGTAATAAAAGTATCAATGCTTTATTTTGTAATGTTATTTGTTGCTAATTACATATGAAAAAATATATCATATCGTAGAAGAGAGAGAACTAGCAGAGTGAAAAAAAGCAATGTTTTTTTCATCATCTCTCCGAAAAGAAGAGCATCTTAAGTTAAAATCCTAGACCGGATTCTTGAGCCAAAAGCTAAAGCCAATCTTGAACTTTTGTGTGAACTGGTTAACATTAACGTATTTAGTGTCTCTTTTCGCTTTTAACTTAGATTGTATTCTTGAATCGAAACTCTAAGGCTAACTGATGACACTTTCGTGAATCGGCGCATCTTTGATACAGGCACGTGATTTACAAGCTTCGTTTTTTTTTGACTACACGTTATCGTTCTATTAGTATTAGTATTTATTATTATTATTATTACTCACCTTTGTTTCAGAAGAATTAAAGAAGTCAATCTTCGACTCTCTGTAACGCTTTTTTCTATAGAACTTCAAAACTAGTTGACTTTTATGAAAATTAGAACCCTATCCTCAAATTCTGATTGGTTTAGTAGCCGCTGAGCCTTTAGTTGTTTTATAAATTTGAAGATCAAATCATAGAACCAAGAAAGAATTAATCGTAATGGCAAGCAAATATGAATTTTCTGACACAACAGATAACTTTCAAGAATCTAATTGAGTTGTTTTTAACAAATACTAATGGAAACAAATGGATATTTAAAAAATATAATTTGGGGATATATTTCATATTTTATAAATATAATGGTCAAAACTAGGAGAAATGAGAAATATCATCATTTATGTCACCAAAGATTTAGAAAATTTTCGGAAGATTTGAAGAAATTAAATTTATTGCGATGAAAATTTAATAATTTAAATTCATTTTGCTTGTTATTATTACTAACTATTGGTATTTTATTTTATTTTTTTTTACATGAAGTTAATAAGTCAATAATTATTATTTACCTTTAATTGAAAATATGTCGCTCGCTTTTTCGTGTTTTTTTAAAATAAGAAATTCAAAGAACTTCTAAATGTAGTGGTGACACGTTGATTGCGCACAAAATAACCAATCACCAAATTTTCAATAAATTAAAAAATATTTATAAAGCAATTCTCGAAAAGACATCAATTAAAAAAAAAATGACATTTCGGATTAACCAGTTCGCGTTATTTTTGTTAATATTTGGTAATTTATTTTATCTGACAACTGTATTCGCAGGAAAAGGACCAGTTATTACAAATAAAGGTATCTTTTGATATTGAAATTTAATGTTTATTTGTATTTGAATAGAAGGTTAATAACAACTTTTGTTGAAAATAAATTAGTTTATTTCGATATTAAACATGGTGATGAGAGTTTAGGTCGTATAGTTATGGGGTTATATGGCAAGGTACTTAAATTTTATCATTATTTTAGTAAATTTTATCATTATTTTAATAAATTATTTCAGTAAAAATTACCAATATTTTTTAATAATCAAAATATAATTTTTCTCCAAAACGATTCTCTAAATGATTTATAGACAGTTCCAAAAACAGCTGAAAATTTTCGTGCATTATCAACTGGTGAAAAAGGTTTTGGATATAAAGGTTCAAAATTCCATCGTGTGATCAAAGTATTTATCAGATAATATTAAATAATAATAAATAAGTAAAATAAATAAGTAATTAATAAAATTAAATATAATTAAATATAATAAATTAATTTATTGATAATTGATTTTATTTAGGATTTCATGATTCAAGGTGGAGATTTTACAAAAGGTGATGGTACAGGAGGACTATCTATTTATGGAGAAAAATTCCCTGATGAAAATTTTAAACTTCGTCATACTGGTCCTGGTGTTTTAAGTATGGCAAATGCTGGACCTGATACTAATGGTTCTCAAGTAAGCAAAATTATAATTTTTTATAAATTTTCTTTTTTTTTCATTTTTATGATTTTTATGATTTCATGATTTTTATTATTTAGTTCTTTATTTGTACCGTCAAAACTCAATGGCTCGATGGTCGTCATGTGGTATTCGGATATGTTTTAGAAGGAATGGACGTAGTTCATAAAATTGAAAAAGTTAAAAAAGATTCCGGTGATCGACCAACAATTGATGTTATAATTGAAGATTGTGGTGAAATTCCAATTGAAGATAAAGAAAAACCTATTAGAGCTGAACTATAATTTTTTTTAAATAATTTTATTATTTTTTGTATAAAATTATGATTAAATTAAATAAATAAATTAATTAAATTAATAAATTAATATTATTGTTCACGCATAAATACATGATCACATGAATTAATTATAGGACATGAATATATAAATGAATTACAAATTATAAAAATAATATACAAATATTAATTAAATCCGATTACATTTAATTAAAAAATTAATATTAATAAATATTAATATTAAAATAACCAACTGCTAACAAAATTTTTTATACGATCTCCTTGTAATAATGGTGCCATTAATACAGATTCAACACGTTCTACGGCTGGTTTGATTTTTTCAGATTTTAATTTTTCTAATGTTTTTTCTTTTGTTCTAAGAATTTTCACTTCTCGATTTTGTGCATCCATTTTTCGCCATAAGTTTAAAATATCAACTGTTTGATCACTGGGACACTTTGCTAATGCAAATCCCATTAGAGTCATCTTTTGCTCTAAATTATCATAATTTTCTTGTTTGGCAACTTCATAACATATTCTCCATGCGACATCATTCATACTATTTAATATTGAATCTTCTTTTTTCCCTTTTGAAATTGTTCTTACAATATTTATCAAGTCTTTGCACATCCGGTGAGCGATCTCGAAATCATTATCCCGTAATGCAGAATCTGCGAGCATGCCTAACACTTTGACCTCTGCAACTTTATCATTTCTATAGCCCAATTTATTTGTAAGTTCCATAATTGATTTGGGATCACAATATGCTGTCTCATGAGTGCATAACAATCGTTCCACCAACTCCAATCGATTTTGTGATGAGCGAATTTGAATGGGGTGTATCGGAATGCCTGGTTGATAACAAACCTTTTTTTCAGATAAAATATATGTTGCCTCAATAAATTCAAGTTCAGATTTAATTGAATCTGTTAACGGTAATATTTGAAGACTAGAAACAAATCAAAAAAAAAAAAAAAAAAAAAAAAAAAAAAAAAGGTAAAAAAATTGTTGAATGTTAAGAATATTAAAAAATTTAATAATTAAAATTACCATTCATACGCCATCTTCATGTAACCGTAATGCATATTACCAGATGATGCATTATCGTAAAATTCACGAGATGCATCTATAACTAATTGTTCAGCAACTTCAATACTTAAAGGATTTGGTTGATCAAATGGTAAAAGGATTTCTCGCGCTAGTTGGAATTCTAGAAATTTTGAAAAATCAATGAGAATAAGATAAATAATAAATTAAGATAAATTAAGATTGATAATTAACATGAATTAGTTAGAAACATACTTCCACAACTCAACAATCCTGAAATAAAGTCTTTGTATAATTCTTCAACAGAAATTTTACCAAAAACACCTTTTCCATTTCCTTGCAAGCTTTTCATCTCTTCTAATAATAAAATCCATTCTTCATCACTTTCAAAACGTTCTTCACCATTTTCTGGACCTTTACTAGCTTTCCGAGATAATTGCAAACATAATCGTTTTTGTAATGCGTAATCGTCTGCGCTTTGAATAAACCAGCGTAACGGCACAGGATTATTATATCGTGCCAAAACTTCAGCTGCATTTAAATGAATTTCTAGATAATCAACGAATCTTTGAAGTTGACTTACACTTTTTGTTTTGAATATTCGTAAAAATTCATGTGAGGTGGAAATTTTAGTTAATTCAATTTCTATATTAATACATTTATCTTCTGAGATTTCCACATCGAAAATTGGAAGGCACTCAAACATTCTTGCCATAATTTCCAATTGATCCATATTTGTGTTTCCATATAAGCAAGCTAAAATTACTCTGGTGAGATCTTCATCCGAAGTTATGATACGATCTTCAATGTTCAGTGTAGGTTTAGAAGCTTCAAATAAACAGCAACATATTTGGAGATTTGTGGAAGACATATCCAAAATATAACTATATAACAAATCCATAGGATCTTGAACATTTAGATTTTCCGTGGAGGATTCCTCTGTTTGATTGGATTTTTTACGAGCATGACGGGCAGGCAACAACTTCAAGAAAGGAAAAATATATTTCTTAACATTCTCAACAATACTTTCTTCATTTTTCAAGAAAGTTCGTACAATTTCCGCTTCTGTTAATGCACTAAATTTTTCTAGCATCATAAACCTACCACTTCTATTCGAGATCGGATAACATTCATAAACCAATTTGGACAACATATTCAAGTCCTCTTCTAAAGTCTCCAAATTTTTCACATTCTTTTTTATACCATAGCGAATGAGTGCAAGAGCTTTATCTACTTGTCCTGATGCGCTATCTATTTTATGAGCACGATCAATATACCATTGAGTGATAACAGATGATGGTGCGGGATATTGAACGGCAGTCTTTAATGGAATATCCTCAAAGTCTAATTCTTTTGGTTCGTCTGGAAAAATTAGTTGTTTTATAATTGGATTTTCAACCCAGTCTGTTTTTCGCCAAGGTTGTACTTGCCATAAACATTCGTATAATTCATTTTTGTCAGTTAAACCAACATTTGGCAAAAAAGATTCATAAGCTTCAGGATCAGCAGTCTCTGGTATCTGTTCTAAAATAGTAAAACGATACGGCAACGTTTCATTACTGTGATAAGTGAATAAGAAACGTAATCCATTGAAAAATTCATCTGCTGCAAAATCCATTGCTTGCGCGGCAATATTTACATCACGAAAAACAGCATAATCTTCAGCAAATGTTGAATAATAATCAATGAATGTTATCAGATTGGTATTTTCTTCTATCAAATCTATGGTATAACTCTCTGTGTCTCTCTTTTTTTTTTCTTCTATAATATCCTCAAAAGTACGAAGTCTATCTAAATACTTTAAGAAATAATGCCTAAACCTGCATGTAAGTGTAAGTTCCTCAGACAGTTGAATTTCTTTCAATATATCTTGCGTATCGGAATCTAATTCCAATGGATGTTCCCGGAGAGCTTGAATTAGTGAGTCTTTATTGTCAATGTTTTCATTGGCAAAAATTTCGTTTAAAACATCGGTTTGGTTCAGACCATAAGTTAATAAAAGTCGAGTCGTAGCAGGGGAATTGGTAATTCGTTCATAACAGTTATATAGTACCCATTGTCTATTATGAATCTTATCTAGATAATCGTGAATAGCAGTTTCTGATATTTCAGCATCGAGCCATAAGGCTTTATAGATTATATCTGTATTAAGATCATATGTTTCAGCTATTAACAATGCGTCATCATATTCAAGAGCATCTATTTTTCGACAAAGCAAATCTTCTGGTGAAATTTTAGAAATACGATTAAGTCGAAATGTTCTTTTTGAAATTGTAACAAATCTACCACGTACGTTTGACAAATCACTTTCAAAATGCCATAAAAATGTGTCAGTTACATAATGTAATGAATTGGTGATTGCGGATATTAATCTACTTAATGGAAGTTGTGATTCTTCAAATCCATCATCTTCTGTTTCACCTTCTTCTTGAGCTCTTGAATATGATATTATATTATCACCATGAACACGCGCACGAATTAATTTAACCTCATGTTCAATAACTAAGAAACAGTTATATTGATTTACAATTTCGAGACATGATTTGAAAACTTCAGGAGAATCACCTAATATATTCACCATATCAGGAAGTCTAGCAATAATAACTGAACCACTTTGGTAACCAAAAACAAGTGCGTTGTCTGACCACCAACCAATTGACAAGATCTTTCCATTATCTAATCCGGGAGTACCTGACAAGTCACCTCCGTTATTTTCAATTTCTAAAAATTTTTCTTGGAATTCATCAAAAGACAATTCCTTATATTCCTTACCCCTAGCAAAGTAATTTAAATTTGATTGACTCCAAGATTGTTCAATTACAACTCCCTTTGATGCGGATACATTCCAAAGATTAACTGAACCAGAAAAATCCAAAGTTAATAAATAATCTTGATTGGATGAAAGGATCATACTATGAACAATCTCATCGGTAAAATTTTCGCCTACTTTACGCCAGATTGAGAAAATATTTTTTATCCGAGAAAAGAAACTTGTATCATCCGCATGACTTAAATTTAATATATCATCATTAGTCACGTCCGTAGCTCCTTCTAGTTCAAGTTTTCGATAAAAAGGTCTATCTTGTAATAACATCCAACATTCAACTGAAGATGTAGTTTTTCCATCTTCATTTTCATTGTTAGGTTTTCCTCCAAGACAAAGTAATAATCCTTTCTTTGTTATAACAGTACCGCAAACCACAGTAATTAACCATTGTTTAAAATAAAATTTATGATAAAATACAAAGAATCCAGGATCAGAAGCTCCTTCACGAGAATAAGTTGCAGTAACTTTTGAACGTCGAGAAATTGATTCGTATCCATCAATAGTTGCCGTTTCTGGAGTATTAAGTAAATAACTACGTAATACACTATCATAAGTGACAACTATTAATTCATATTGATAAACTTGACCTTCAAATTTAAAGGGTTTATTCGATCCACGTTTAGGATCCACAAATGATAAGAAAGCCACAGGTTCAAGAAAAAAACTTGCCCCAGTCTGAGTGTCACTTTCTACATCAGAGTTAGAAGTAGAAAGGATTACACATATTATCTGTCCATCTTCGTTAATGATTTCTATTGTTCCATCGCTTCTCGTGGCAGCTAAAATTTTAGAATCTGGACTCCAAGCTAATCGCCTCCATGATGGAAATGTGTCTCTCTTTGAATAAAAAATCGCGTGATTTTTTTCAAATCGACTTTCACTAGTTTTAAATTCGATCTTATGCTCTTGTAAAACTGCTAAATATTCTCCGTCTGGAGAAAGTTGCATAAGCCATTCGCTTGTCACTTTGGGACGTGCCTGTATGAGAGCAGGAGGAACAGTTGTAGAAATGGCCAGTCCTTCAAGACTACGCGCTAGCCGATGTGTAACTTGTTTAAACACACGTTTCGGTAGCTGAGAATAAGATGGATCGCCATTAGCATTTGCGAAAGAGTTAACTTGAGAATCAGAGTCTTGATCTAACGTTGTTTCATCATCGGGTTTCCACACCGCCACAACATCTATGTCATAAAGAATACGATCTAATTGGTTTTGCTTTAACTTAGAAGAAAGTTCTGATTCGGTCATGACTTGAAGAAACAAAAACTTTTATTTTTGATTTTGTTTGTTATCGATGTTTGTTGCAGATCTTATCGTTATATAATCCATTTTTTTAAGTAAAACAGAGATCAATCACGCAGTCTTTTGTGAATCAAAAAATAAACGTCACATTAAATGGACAAAGTGAACATTTGATCATGTAAGCTAAAAGAAGCTGGTGTGGCTGAGACATCAATGTGTCTACCAGATAACATCAATCAATGCTTTATTAATCTGAGTTATATAGTTTATCCTTACAAAGCTGCCACAGAAGAAAGTGTGTGCTAAGAAATTTGAAAGAGCAAAGATTTAGCTATCAAAACAACTACATTCACATGGACTGCTTGAAAAAATAATAAAAATCTGCTTGTAATTCAATAAACACCAGAATATTCAGCAATAATCTGAACTGATAATTTAGCAGATCAGGACAAAGAACCCAGAAAAATTTGATTTGTTCTTGAAAAACTTGTGCTTGAAGATTGCTCCACAAAAATTAATGACAAAAAAAAACAGGAAAATGCAATGCATCAAAATGTAACTGGCCAAGTACATCATGTCCAAACCTTTTTTGCTTTAATTGGCAAAGTGTTAGCTTCAAAGATTCTTGTACTCCTTGTCAAAGTTCTGATCTAGTGAAAAATCAGCTTGCTGGTTTCCACTCTTTCTTGTATAGAGAAATCTCAATTAGAAAGTTAAGTGAGCAAAGATAAAAAATACCTTGAATGAGCAAACAATTCTTATTGCAAGCAGCTCCTGTATACTACTAATTTTTTTCTTTTCAAATGAGGGCAAAAAAAAAAATTCCTCTAGCAAATATAGCATATAATATACTTGGAAATATTTCCATAATTGGAAGTGATTTCCAATTTCTCTTATTCCAAAAAATTCAAGTTTACTGATATGCTTTTTTGCAGCTTCTGGAATTGTTAAACCTTGCATTGCAGACATTAGTGAGAAGCCTTTAAGTAATACATTGAGATCCTTTTGATTACTGCTGTTTTCAACTTTGTGATAAGTGTCAAAATCATCTTTCAACTGATATTTTCAAATTCATCAGTATTATCAAGCCCATTATACAATTCTTCAAAAAAAAAAAGTTATAGATAATATATCAACAGGTAAAAGGTCATTAATATCACAACTTATATTTATCTTATTAACTAGCTACTCACAAAACATCATATAGACATTTATCCAATATGTCAGATGGAATTAATATTAGATATTTTGTTTTCAAGAATGCTAAAGTCTAACAATTGGCAAATCCTTTAAGATAAATAATCAATTGTATTCACTTTACTATTTCTAGAACCTCATTAATCTACTCATCATGATTGCAGAAGCTGTAAATTAATAACCGATTTTCTGATTGTAATAATTTTTCTTTGTTTTTTTCTTCAAATATGTTTAATAACTTTTCTTCATCTTTATTAGAAAATTTTTAAAAACAAATATATCTAGATATATTTGTCCACTCATATATTTATCTGCATAAATTATATTAATATATATTAATTTATATTTATTTACATTAATTCATATATTATATCAAATATATTTATATATATTTGCAAATATATTTATATAAATTCAGTTTTTATTAATTGCAAATATATCTGCATATATTTGTAAATAAAAATTTTTTGATATTCTGATGATAAAAATATATTTTTTAACTTGTGATTTGTTAAAATAAGACAATTATATTTTTCCAATGCTTATCACTTATCTGTAATGTACAATCTATATCTGAAAAATTAAAGTGTTACATTCACATAAATTATATACATAATAACTATAATATGTTAGTTGAATATTTTCAAGTAGTTGCGATCAACAAATAAAATAATATTTTAAAGTAAACCTAGTCTTTTTTATTATAATGCTATAAATATACACAAAGTTATTTCAATATTGATCTCAAAAATAGAGCAATAATAATATGTAATAACAATACAAATTATTAAAATTTATGAAAAAAATTAACTAATCCTTTTTTGAATACTTTTGTCAATACTTCAGTTAGATTCAGTAAGGTAAAAATGGAACTTCTGGTCTAGCACTAGTTAGTTTGCTATATTTCACACTCCAAAATCATCAAAAAGTATATCAATATTATATATCAATTTAAGTTTTTCAAGTTGCTAGAACTTAATTCTGGTTTACAATTATCACTAGTCATTAAGTATATCAATAAATCTCATAAATATCAAAAATTTTATTGATTTAGAATACATTTAATTATCTAAATTTATTTCAAAAAAAATAACAATTATGTATGATATCCTGCTTGCTATTAAAAAAGTCCAAGAGAAATAGTAAAGGATATAAATTTAATGAATATTCCAATCTCTTTTCGAGCTTAAATTACATATCAATTTTATTTACTATAACAGAATTCAATCTAAAATTGATCTTCACAACTTTTTTGATACAAAAAATGTAATTATATATCTCAAAAGATAACAAAAAATATAACCATATATTGTAAAAGGTAATAAAATTTTGATAAGAGTAATAAAAAAATATGACCATATATCATAAAAAGATAACAAAAAATGTAACTATATATGTATTATAAAGGATAACAAAATTTTAATAAGAGTAACAAATTTTTAATAAAGGTCATAAAATTCTAAACTAGGTTTTTTATTTATCAAGGTAAAAAAATTCAATAAAAGTAACAGATTTTTGATAAAAGTTACAAAATTCTAAGCCAGGTTTTTTACTCATCAGGAATCTAATTTTAAAGTCCTAATACACAATCTATTATAGTACTAGACCATATAATATTCTCTAATATGTAAAGGATATCTATCAAAAGTTGAACTAGTAGATTTATCACAATTCAAATAAAGTATTTTTATTTTAGTTTTTCAATAATAGCTACAACTTTCAAATCTCATATATCAGAAATTTTTTTTAGTGAAAACCTTTGAAAGTTAATGTTAATATAAGTATTTTGCTGTTTTTTGATATATTATCTTGCGAAAGTTTTCGTTAACTTTTGAAGATTATCGATTTTGATATTTTCATGTAGCAAAATTTTGTGAATATTATCATTTTCATAATAAATTTATATTGATAACCTTCGAAAATTATTGATTTTGATATTTTTATGTGTGAAATTTTACAAATATTATCGTTTTCATAGTAAATTCATATCAATAACCTTCAAAGATTATTAATTTTGATATATTCATGTGTGAAATTTTGCAAATATTATTATTTTTGTAGTAATTTCATATCAATAACCTTCGTTTATGTTAGATATTCATAATATATTGTTTCAATAGTTATCATTTACATTTATATTGCTGTAATTTTTAATCAACATTATACTTTCAACAATATCTTTCGAAGTTTATTATAGCAATTTTAATTGACATTGTATTGTTAACAATGTCTTTCGAAGTTTATCGTAGCAATTTTAATTGATATTACACTGTTAATGATATCTTTTGAAGTTTATTATAGCAATTTTAATTAACATTGCACTGTCAACAATATTCTTCAAAATTTATCGCAACAATTTTAATTGACATTGTACTGTGAACGATATCCTTTGAAGTTTATCACAGTAATTTTAATTGATATTGTATTGTTAACAATATCCTTCAAAAGTTTATCACAGCAATTTTAATTGATATTGTACTGTTAACAATATCTTTCGAAGTTTTCATAACGAAATTGTAACAATTAAGGTTAGTATTTATATTTATTGAATGTAATTATATTATTGATATAATTTTATTAGATATTATATTGATCCAAAGTTTATTAGTATTAATATATTCCTGAAACCTTTAATGATTTAATATATTATAGTTAAAGATTTTCAAAATAACTAGACAATTAACAAATATCTTTTGAAGTTTATATCACTACATTTTAATTGATATCGATATCCTTCGAAGTTTATTATATTGTTGATTATCATTTCAAATTTTCTTCGAAGATTATTATTTTTTTGTTTGTGCAATAAGATCAGTTATTTCATATAACTTATTATTTAACTATATATTTTTTTGTTTATTTTCAGAATAACTACTTTTACTCTCTCTAAACAATCTATACAAA